GACTTAGTTTTGTTTAGCGGCCAGGCTTTTATTTAAATTACATAATTAAATTAAGAATGTTAGCCGATATTTATATAAACCTGTTTACTGTTCATTTTTTAAATATTTTTTTGCGTATTTCGATTTGTTCAGAAGAGTTCAACAAACCATTTGGTGTCTATTTTATAATATAATTCAGCTTACGGCTTGGCTTACAAATAGCCAAACAATAAGCTTATTTGCTGTTGTTCTTCTTCTTGTTGCTCTTTTGGTGCTCTGGGCCACCCAGAATACGCATGCATTTCACATTATTAACAAAATGTTGCGCAATTTATTTGTGTAGAAAACAACAACAACAACAATAAATTGACGCAAAGTGTCAACAAAGATTTTGCATAATTTTGCTTAAGCGAGTGCTTTATATATGAGTCAAAATGTGCGTGGCATGTAAAATTGCCTCATTATTTGTACAACAAATTTGCCACAAAATTAAGGCGCTGACTCTCAAACTGTAACGACAAGTGCGTCTACAGTGCGCGATCAATTAATGCGGATGTTTATTGGGGAAATGCAAAGCAACAACAGCAACAACAACAACAAATATGACTTGCGGGTTTTTATTTCTGTTGTTTGGTTTAAGATACTACGCACACCCACACACTATGCCCTACACACACACACACCTGTTAAATGTCTGTTAACGGGGCAACGATCAATGAGCGTCAGCAATTGGCAAGTTCGTGTTCGAAGTCTTTTGTGTTCTGCGCCTGTGACTTTGTGTGCTGATGAAATCTTGTTGAATCGCTTGCGGGGCCTAAGCTCATGTTATACTACGTATTGCATTGTATATTGATTGATTAACTGCTCGCATTGGCAAATTTCCGTGTACGAATTTGTTGTGCAAAAATTAAAACCAAATCAGCTTCTAAAATGCCCCGCAAGCCCATAACTGGCTAACAGATTCTAGCTAAAGCGGCAGCATCTACGCGGAAATGCACTAACTAAACTGGCGCAATTGTTGGCCCCACAGACTGACACCTGGACAGACAAACAGACAAACAATTAAGTTTAATTGCACTAAGTGGCCGGCGTTGACTACGATTTAATACCAGTTAAATGTATATTATTATTAAGGCCTTAATGTGTTGACAGTGGCTGCAAGTGTGAGAAAAACTGGTTTAATGACGCGCCCTTCCCCGTTAAAAACTCTCTAGTAATTTTCCTTAATCAATTTGACTTACAGTATGCGAAATTAATACGGCCCGTAACTGACCTACGTCGGTTGCATAGCTAAATGGCTGCATATTGAAAGTTATATATCGATTCATATAGATGTCATAACTATCTAGAACGTCTAGACGCTGGGCATTCGATTCTTTGCAGCTGTGTGTTGTCTAAAAGTTTGTAGGTAAAAGCCGCGCCACCGGAAAAACCTTTATCAAATTTAAATTTGGATTTCTTTTGCCTTTTATTTTTGTTGGTAATTTTAAATTCAATTAAGCAGCCCGAAACACGCAGCTGAACTCGTAAGCAGCACCAGCCGCCAAAGAAACAAAAAAAAAAAAGCAAAAAAGTGAAAATCTCTGAGCGTAATTAGATGCAATCAGCAGCGGCAGCAGCATCTCTGGACCCGGCAACTTTGGATGGTAGCTTTGCGCCCCGCACATGAGTCACGGACACATGAATCACGGGCCATGGCGACAGTTCGATATGGGGCTAGCAGCGTTACCTTATAACGCTTCACTGGCTGCCGTACTCACAAGTTGCGACATGGGTGCTGTACGAACATTTTGCCAGTCATGCGAGGGGCATACGGTGCGTATGTGTAATGTGCAATGTGTTGTCTGCTGCCGAGCAGATATCAACCCCCTACTAGAAGTCGATTGTGCAAAAGTACAGTTGTTAAAAACTCAAGTACAGTGAAGCTCTGGCGGTCATTAAGGCAGCTAAATACAAGTCTTGCCACACACACACACACACACACACACACACAGCATTAACAATAAAAATTACCGCACTGCAGTTTTGCCAGCCACGAATGCATCACGTAAAATGCCAAGCAAACAAGCTGATGCGATTCTCTAGCCAATAATTACAGTGAGCAGCTCCTCGGCACTGACCACACCCGCACAGCCTCCAGGCTGGCCTGTGCGCTGCCTAATGGCAGCCACTGTGCATTAATAAACCAAGCAAACTCCATGACTTGACGTTGTGTGTTATTGTCGTTGTGTGTGTATGTGTGTGTATGTGTGTGTGTGTGTGTGTGTGTGTGGAAGTGGCGACAAATAAGCATTGTTTTCTTTTACTTTTGGCACACACAGACTGACCGACTGACTTGGCTCCGCATGCACAGGTCTTGGCCTCGCATGCAGATGCATGTGCCAACAATTGGCCAATGGCTGCGCCAAAAGGCTAAGCTTGGCAATTAACTGCGACACGGACAAAGTGCAGGACAATTAAGGCAATCAGTGCTCGTTGATTTCTGCAAACTATAAAATGTATAATTTATATATGTACATATTTTTGAGGTGTGGAATTCTTTACAAATTGGTAACTAATAAATTAGAAATAAATTTATATTGCAAAGTGCAGAACAATTGATTTGTTTAATGTGAACAATTATTTATTAAAGTTTATTTAAGTTCGTGACAAGTTGCATTTTCAAATTATAAATAATTTCAAATCACAAAGTGCAGAACAATTAAACAAGTCAATGCTGCTTGTTTAAACTATGAAATCTAAAATATATAAATATTTAATTCAAGCTGAATTTGAAATTTATAGTTCATAAATAACAAATATATTTAAATGACATACAGCAAGACTATTAAACGAGTCATCAAATTAACAAATATGGAAGAAATGTATTTACTGGTCATAAGATTCTTTACAAATCGCATTTATGTATATTGGCAGCTTTTTAATTAATAATAAATGTGTATTTTAATGACAATTAATTACAATTTTATAAACTAACGCCAATTTCAAGACCCTTTAGCTGCCATAAATATTCAATATAAATTAAATATTTTGTACACAACTCAATTTAAAACGTTGTCAAATCAAATTTCCTTCGTACATGAGGCTAGGTTTCCCAATATCTGAAATTTATAACAAAACTCAAGAGTATTCAAGAATAAAATATACATACTTGAAATTTATAACACAATATTTGTTATTCCTTATAAATAAATTACCTATACAAATAATTATAAAAAATATCTATTTAATTTATGTTTATCGAACCATCTTTGTAACTAGATAAAACTGATAGATGAGCCATCAGAAATGTTTACACCAGCTTCACTATGCGGTCATTGGGAAATTCCACTTGCAAGTGTGGGACATGCGCGGAAAACGATTGCATAAAATGTTTTCTTTGTCAGCCGATCGGCCTTAAACTAATTTTCAAAGACTATGAACTTAAATTTTAGAAGTGTATCACGCTTCTTGTTGAAAATTGATTGGATAGAACTCCATTTTCTTAATCTTTATCAAGATAAATTTATGAAGTCCTTCAAATTCGAAATTCTTAAGTTTCGTTCAATAAATATCTATACCTATATATGTAGTAAGGTTATCTGTAGTTAGACATCTTACTTTTTATTATTCCAAAGTCCATTTATTATTTAGTTTTTTTCCAGTTTATCCAATCTTCCCAATACGCCGAGATCTCACTTACAAGATCGTGCCTCCCATACTTTCCTATCGATAGAACCTTATAAATACCGATTGTTAACATTACTATTTTGACAAGTAACAATGCAATTATTATTAAAATGGGTGGAAATAGGAAAACATGTGGAAAATTAATGTCTAAGATTAACGTAATACATTCGTTATGAATGAATGGAATTCTTATATGACTTGCAGCTGGCATAAATCGCAATACACCATCAATTAGACTCGAAAAAATTCCAGAATTTTGATTAAATTACGCTCAGGAGTAGAAATTGATTTGTATTTAATTGCTTTGTATGTCAAATTACATTAGAAGTAATTGCAGCTTATCCATATTTTTCCAAACACATTACAATGGAATTGGTTACATATTTCTTTAGCTGCTGACAAATGAGCACATGTCGAATTGAGCAAATCGATATTGATTATAGATACAGCAAATCAGAAAACAAGTCCTATAAAATTGCCACACACACCCCCCCCCCCCCCCCAACTCTTCCCACCTCACCCCTTTCAGGCGGGTCACATAACTCACGCCTCTGCAATTTAAAGATAATTAATTTAACCCCTTCTTGGCAGTGGGATAAACACAGCCGTGTTTTTTTTTTTTCTTTCTGTAATTACCATTGGCTCAACTATTTAGTCAATGATTAGCATGATTAGCATAACTAGTTTAGCACTTAGAATTTTAAATGAACTTCATAATTATACACAGAGTGCATGGCAAAGTGCAAACGTTTTTCCTGTTCCTGCATATCGAATTGTCCGTTTGGCCCACTGTCAACCGCATTGCCGGGCTATTCTTTGAGCCAAGGCTGTTGCAACAGTTTCAGACCAGTTTTTTTTTTCTTGATTTTTATTTTGGCAACTCAGGCGCGCTAATCGCCAAAACGTAAATTGCCGTACGAATATTATAGAAAATCATGGGGCCACATTGACTGCATACGGAAATTCACTGAGAATGTTGTTTGGCGCGCCAATTTTTCTTTCCGTGCAGTCGGGCAGCCGGTTTTTTGTCAACACACACACACACACACACACAGAGAATCACACACACATGCACATATGTTGCACAAATGATTCGGTTGGAGATCAATGGGTAGGTGGTCAGACAGACAGATCGTATTAGCGGGCAGCTTTAATTTTAAGTGTATAGAGAGCCAGGGCAGGCACATACAATGGGCACATGATTGGACTCGACCCACGTCCAATCGTGATGGATTTGCCACAGATTAACAGGTGTTGCAATTGACTGTATTTATATAGATTTGACATCTGAACCCTGTTGCTTAAGCGCTTGACTAATGAGCATGTTTCTGGTTTTATCTGTCTTCTTGCAGGAGTATCTCTCACAGTTTTACGATGGCTGGCGGGATCTTATGGACAACAAATCAGATCCCCGCACCCGTGACTATCCGCTCATGAGCTCGCCGTTCCCAACGATAGCGATCAGCTTGGCATACGCATACTTCGTAAAGGTGAGTGCCCCGGCTTCCCCCGGGAAGCACCCGGCCCAGCTATAATTACCGCGCTGCTCGTGGGGGGAAAAAACCCAAATGAACACGCAGCCAACAGCCAAAGATATGGCACTTAAAGCAATGTCGGCCCGTTCTAGTTGATTCTATAGCAGCCGCATGCATTCACATTTGATGAGCGGGCATTGGCACGCGGATGCAGTCGGGTCCTGCGTCATGCAAAACTAGTTTTCGTTTAAGGCGTTGCAAAAAAAAAAAATACAAAAAAAAAAAACAGAAAATGGGGAAAAAAAATGTAAAAAACATGTAAAACGATAAAATAAGTTCAGGGCCAAACGCCCCATTCAAAATCAAAGCCAATCAGCGCTAAACGAGCAGAGTTGATGTCGAAATTGTGACCCAAGTGGGCCAAAATTACATATGCAAAAAAAAAAAAAAAAAAAAAATACTCAAAGGGTAAAAAGCAACCGAAACGATTTCTATTTAGGTTTCAGCTTTGCATTGCTTTACATTTGTATATACATATGAATGTAATCATTTAAATGGCTTTCACACACACACACACACATACAAAAGACTTAGGCAACGAACTTGTCCCAAAATCAACAGACAGCCACCGCCGATTGATTTGATAATTGCAGCATCGCACCTTTGTTTGATTTTGTATCTTAAAACGGGCAACGGCAATTAAAAGCAGTGCTTGCGCTCAAGTGGCATCTGTGAAACGTTTTGGCCATTTGCATTTTTTATACCCTGAACCCATTAAAAATGGGTATAAGGGTATATTGTATATGTGCAAAATCCAAATGTATGTAACAGGTACAGAAGTAAGCTTCTCCGATCCCATAAAGTATATATATTCTTGATCAGCATCAATAGCCGAGTCGATCTAGCCATGTCCGTCTGTCTGTCCGTCCGTCCTTCCGTCCGCATGTATGAACGCAAGGATCTCAGAACCTATAAGAGCTAGAGACTGAAATTTTAGATGTAGATGCTCCTAGTTCCCGCGCAGATAGAGTTTGATTCTAATAATCGATAACTTCCTCCGTTTCCAAGCAATCGATAAAATATCGATATCCTGTTTTTTGGGCAATTTTAAACTTGACATATAGCTTCTAAAATAGAATATATATATATATATATATATATATATATATATATTTGATGTTGAAAGAAGAGGGTTCAGGGTATCCCCTAGTCGGGATCTCCCGACTAGAACCTCTGACTTGTTTCTATTTTGAGCATATATCAGGTTTAATTAGGACCGCAAACAACTTAGAATACAAATCTATATAGCTTAAACCGGATCTTCGAAATCTGCTAAAAACAAGAAGCGCAACAAGATTTCATTCTTTTTTCCGGTTTCACAAGCCTCACATTAACATACCAATATAAACTTGTGTGCATAGCATTAATTTATTGAAATTGCAAACGGCTTTGCTTTTAAGTCATTCCTTAGTTTGTTGAGGACTTCTAAATTTAAGTCTAGACATCAAATGTTTCAGGGTGAAGCCAAAACTGATAATATAACCAAAAAGCTGAGGGCCGACTCCCGTCCAAAAAATATGTACACAAAAAGTACACAAAATGCTAATCTGATTTAGAACATTTACAATATTAAAGCTTCTTTGGGAAATTTAGAGAAAAACGAGAAATAAGCGATATCTGTGGAATGTGGAAGACTTCATTCCCTTCCAGACATTTGCCCTACTAAAGCTCGTAACTGCTGAGCTTGATGAAAATATCTTGATAAATAGAATATTTTGCCATACTAGAACCTACTTTTATTGTAGTCCGATTTTGACAAGGCTTTGCATATATATGAGGAGCAAAGTGAAACAAAGATGGAAAACTGCTTTAGAAGAGCCCACTTTTCGATGGATCATACCTATGAAAGCTATATGATATAGTGGTCCGATGTAAATGATGAGTTTAGTTATTGAAACTTGTTGAGATTAATGTATGAACTGCCTGCAACAGAGGGGCGAATCTAAGCCCAGTTTCAAGATAACTTTAAAACTAAGATACGGACGGACAGACAAACAGACATCAGCTCTTTGGCAGCTGTTCTAGAATATATATACATAATGGGGTCGAAGATGTTTCCTTTCGTGCGTTAGCTATATTCGAATCGAGGCAGTTTACAGCCTGGCTTTAAATATTTACCCATTGCTATCGTCAACAGGTGCTTGGACCCAAGCTGATGGAGAACAGAAAACCCTTCGAGTTGCGCAAAGTTCTGATCATCTACAATGCAGCACAGGTTATTTTCAGCGCGTGGCTGTTCTACGAAGTAAGTGCCCCAGCTCCGAACTAGCCTTGAAAGAGCACAATTTCATAATTAAAGAAAACAACAAAAAAAAAACACTTCACATTTATAGTCTTGCATAGGTGGATGGCTGAATGGCTACAGCTTGAGATGCGAGCCGGTTGATTATTCCTATTCACCGCGAGCGATACGTGTGAGTATAATAAAGTGCTGTATATACATAGTTGTCTATATTTATGTAAATGGACATTTGGCATATGTAAGCGTTCGAATTTATGATTTAGCCGGTGCCAAGCCAGTGCCAGCAAATGTTTGTTCACTGTGCCAGATTTATATGCCAGACATAATGGCAACCAGTTTTTGGCCTAAACAAAGAGCCGCAACGGTGACTGGTTCTTATGCTAATCAATTTGATGACAAATGTCCGCGCCAATGCCGGCCGGCTACATGGAGCGTTTTGACTAGATTGAAGGCTCACGTGTCGGCAAAAGAAAGTGCCAAAACAGAGCTTAGAAAGCCAAAAGAAATGTGCAAAAAGAACAACAATAACAACAAATCGATACAGCACAGAGTGCATGAACTTTTCTCTATTTCTAAACATATTTCTATATATATATATGTCTTTTGACAGACTGCATGGGGCTGCTGGTGGTATTACTTCTCCAAGTTTACCGAGTTCTTTGACACGTTCTTCTTTGTGATGCGCAAACGGTACGATCAGGTGTCCACGCTGCATGTGATCCATCATGGCATTATGCCCGTCTCCGTTTGGTGGGGCGTCAAGTTTACGCCTGGCGGACATTCGACATTCTTTGGATTCCTCAACACATTCGTGCACATCTTCATGTATGCGTACTATATGCTGGCCGCGATGGGACCGCGAGTGCAGCGTTATCTCTGGTGGAAGAAATATCTGACCGTGATGCAGATGATTCAGTTTGTGCTGGTCATGGTGCACTCGTTCCAGCTGTTCTTCAAGAACGACTGCAACTATCCCATTGGCTTTGCCTACTTCATTGGCGCACATGCGGTCATGTTCTACTTCCTGTTCTCCAACTTCTACAAGCGCGCCTATGTGAGGCCCGATGGCAAGGTATATATCTATATATACATCACACGAGGCAGCTGTCTAATCAATTTGTTTCGTTTGACCATTGCAGGACAAATCCGCTGTCAAGGCTAATGGTCATGCCAATGGCGCCGTGAAGCAGTACAAGGATGGGGATGTTGCCTCCCGTAATGGCCATGCGGGTGGCCCTGTCAATAGATTCCACAATACCTTCTCGAAGTTCACGACCCAGATGTGCAATCCGGCGCTGAACTCGTCCACGACGCGACAACGTGTCCTGATCAATGCGGGCAACAAATGAAGCCGTCGCTAGCCAATCAGCCAGCCAGCCAACCAAGAAACAAAGCATAAATTAATTAAATGTAACAATTAAATTACCGTAACATTAAATTAAACATAAGCATAGGGAGTCCAAGCCTAATTCTAAGCCAAATCGACAACGAAATTTATATTGAAACAGAAAACAAAAAAACAAAATAAATTCAAGAAAAAAACAATACAAAACAAAGCATATTGTCATAGATATCCAATTTGTAGCAATTGCACGTCTAGGCCAAGCAATTATATTTTTCATTAATCTATCTATCTATCCATCTATATATATATATATCTATATATATATATATACCTGCATCTGAGTATATATGTAGCTGCTCTTGTTAGCCGCTTTCACATTATATTATATATAGTTGGATGATGATATCTTTGCTAAACGCTTTATACCTAAATATTATATCATATTTCGAACTTTTACTGTTTTTATATTTTTAAATTTATTTTTCGCTTATGCAACAATATGTTTTACACGGGTTTATTTCGCTGGATTTTTTTGATCAACAGAAATGTGTTTTTTATTTTATAAATAAAATTGAGATTGAAAGAAGCAATGTGGCTTACGGTACTGTTGGATAAGTTGCCGATCCCAAAAAAGTAAACAAAAATAAAAATAAATTCAAGAAAAAATAAAAACAAAACAAAACATATTGTCATAGAAATCCAATTTGTAGCAATTGCAGGTCTAGGCCAAGCAATCATATTTTTATTAATCCATCTATCTATCTATCTATCTATATATATATATATATTATAGCTATGCATCTATACCTGCATTCTTAGCCGCTTTCACATCGGAAAAACAAGCTAACTACTTTTACAATTTGATAAGCATCGAATTTTCATATATATTATATTATATATAGTTGGATCTTTATCGATATGATGCTATCCATTTTATATATACGCACCTAAATATTATTTCATATTTCAAGCTTTTACTGTTTTATTTTTAATTAATTTTTTATCGGTTATGCAAGCAACAATAGTTTTTATACGTGTTTATTTCGTTGGATTTTTTGATCAACAGAAATGTGTTTTTTTATTTTATAAATAAAATCAAAATTGAAAGAAGCAGTGTGGTTTACGGTACAGTTGGATTAGTTGCCGATCCCAAAAACTGTAATCGATTCGACATGTGTTTTTCTTGTTAAATGGACTTTTGTGGTAAATAGCTCTACAGTTCTGAAAGTTTCTGGTTAAGATAACATGTCGTTAATTAAGATGCCTGCCCGAGTACGACACCCATTCGAGTAATGTTGAAATTAAGGGGGGGGGGGGGGGGGGGGGGGGGGGCAGTAATACGTTTCACGATGATTAAGCACATGCCAGCATAAATAAACACTTGAAAGACATAAACTAACTGACTAGGCACATTTAATTGCATGTATTTGCGCATAACGGAGTACGATTTATTATCTATGCATGATTTTCTATAAAAGTGCTTTAAGCAAGCGTTTTTTGCTTAGCCAAACTAGCTATTGCCACATACTCCTTCAATATAAAAATATAAAATTACAAATTTAAATATCATAACTCCAAAGCCGTTAAAATGTGTTTCTGATCTTTCGTACAGTTATTTTTAGTATTTTAGTATATTTTCAGCATTTATGTTACTATATTAATTCAATTGCACAGTACGGTCACTCCATTTTTTTAGTAGGAGTTGCCACATCACTGAAAAAACTTGACGCTATAGTGTATGGTCGGATGCGCTCTCTTTATCAAAATACTCAACATGATAAAAATAAATGTTCAGGGGCACAGAGGGCGCTCTCTTAAAGCGAAAAAAGCATGCAAGAGTGACGTCAAAAGCGCGTCGTATACAATGTTTGCGCTCAAATAAAATGAAATGAAATAAGACAATATTATTAAATCATTATTTTATTATTGCGATCATAATTTTAATTGTTTATTTTATTAATGCCATCTAAAAAATTATGAGCCAATGAAGTGCATAACGCAGATTACTTTCGCGCTACCTTGTCAATATATGACCGCATGCATTCTCTGGCTTTTGTCGTTTTTCTTTTGGGTTTATTGTTTTTGTTGTCCGCTTAGTTTCATTTCAGACTTCCTTGTGCATGGTTGTTGCCGTTGTTGCTGCGATTTCTGTTCGGATATAGTTTTGTTTAATTCGATTCCTGTGCGTGGGGGTACGTGTATTTTAATTAATAGTACAAATATATTATAACATTCGTTGTCAGTATCCAGCATCAAGTCACCTAACGGCAAAATTACCGCTGTGTTAAATAAACGCGTAACGTTTTCTACATTATTTAAACGCGCGACGATCACTTTGATATTGTGTGAGTGTGTGTGATATTCTTGAAATTTAAGCAAAATTCCAACGCTGCACGTTCGCTGCTAAGTTCGCCGGCCTTAAATCATTGGCGGTAAGTTCGCATCGATTTTCTGTTAGCAACTTGTTGTGCACTCACAGAATATGCGTACAGTGGAGAAAATTAGTCATCAGAGTAGTTGCTGCGTGGTTTTAATTATAAAAAAAAAAATACAAAAAAAAAACGGTCTCCTGTTTCCCGCCGCGCCCAGCAACGCGCCGTAAGAGTGGCAAACAGGAAAGCAACAGCCAATGTAAGAGAGAAAGAGAGTGCACGTGCATGGGGCGCATAATTCGCTCTTTGCATGTGTGCCTCTGTGTGTGTGTGTGATTGCGCTAGAATGAGAGGGAGAGCACGTTAGCACGTTAGGTCGTACGTGTGCGGTCTGCCCTTTAAGAGGGGAAGATTGAGGTGCGTTAATAACTGTTAATTGTTGTTCAGACCCGCATGAAATAAATCCACAATGGCCACAGCTAAAAAGGCAGAAGCCCTTGCGAATACCAATGAAACGTTTCCTTAACAACAACATAAGTACAATATGCAAATGCGGTTTTTGACACCGCTAAAATGGTGCTGTCAATTGCTTGGCACACATTCAGTTATGTCAATTCACATTTGTTGCATCATGCGCCTCTCCCCCAGTCAACGTCAAACTGTCAAGTACGAGTGCGAACGCGCGCCTGCGCAGCCCTGCGGTTGCATTTTTCATTTTGTCGATCAAAAAAGTTTCACCTGTCAGCAATGCGGAAATTGTTGGCAATCGACAGTCGACAGTCGACAGTCGACAGTCGCCAGTCGATAATCGAAATCGCAATCGCAATCGAGTTCATGCAATGTAGAAGGTCAGCCAGTTAATGCGCCAAAGAGTGGAGCGAATGAAAGCTTGGGGTTTTTTTTCTTTTGTTTTTACGAGAGCTTTCGCAAGTGCGTTGTGCCATCGCATTACAACATTGACGGGAAAAAATGGCTCATTAGCAAACTGAATGTAAAAAACAATAACTATCAAATGTATAAAGTGCAATATGCTAATTGAATTCTAAAAATGTTGCGCATCTTAACCGAATAGCTTAACACTTGTAAATTGTAAAATAAACAAATTAAAAGAAATTAACGCTAAAACCGTTTGCCCAAAGTCAACAAATACCAAATCGAAAGTCCTAAGGTTCAAGTTCGCCCATATATACGCATATGCTCATATATCTATTTTTTTTTTTATTTTTTCTTCAGTCTGTTGATGAGATGCTCCGCACTTTTGCCCGAGAGCAGTCGCTGCACTCGCTGCCAATTGGGAGAGCGCTCAAAATATCGTATCATATAGAAATTTCATTTTAGCACCGCAGCGTCCAAAGTCCAAGCCAACTGGCTGCCGAATCGGCCATACGAATGTGTATGTATGCGAGCGAGTGTGCGTCTGTATGTGTGTGTGTGTGTCTTGGCGTGGCCTGGTCTGATGATGTTTGATGCCAACGTACGCGTAAATGTATGTAAATATATCGCTTATATGTAGGTCTGAGCATCTCATGCTTGATAAGCACTCTTTGGCATTGCCTTAGCTATTGGCTTGAAGTTCTTGCAACCGGTTTGCCCGCAAGAAATGCAAAGAGAGCTTTCAGCAAAAACAGCTCGAAGACATAATTCCCTGTTTTTGGGCTTGAAGCTTTTACTGCCCTTGAATTCGAATTCGAATTCGAATTCGTATTCGAATTTCGTTGTTACGAAATTACATAACAAATAAAAGGTGTCATTGTCAACTCCGTGAGCTAAATATGAACATATATTAAGAGTTAAAACAAGTTTCTCAGTTTTGAAACATTGCCTCAGTTTACCGAATCGAAGCTTTCCATATATATATATATTGTTAAAAACCTGAGGTGTTTTTCGATGAAAACCTAACTATGAAAAACTGAGTAAATTTCTCAATATTTATTTGGTATGCTCGCAATATATAAGTTGAATTATCGCAGCATTAGGAAACTATTGAAGTTTCTTTTCCAAGATAAACACATAAATATGTGTACCAAACTCTCCTGTCTTACCAATATCGGAATATCCTAACATACCTATATCATTAGATATAGATATATACATATATTAAATGAACATCGTTTTCTGGCCAACTACATATTCAAATATATCGCACATTTGCTGAGTATCTACAAGAATTTATAATTTCAGGTGTTTACAAAATTTGTTTATCTGTTTTCTTTCGGTTTGCCTTTATCATTTTTCAGGAACTATGTGCTATATATATAAACTAAGCAGTATAAAATAAACCAAAAACTCTTTGAAATACTTATAAAACGAAATATATAACTTTATAATCATGTTGAATATAGCTCAAATTTTGGTCTGTCTTCTGTCTTCTTCTTATGCTGACCAAGTAACCATGAGTTGTCATGCCCCTTTTCCATATATTGTTCTAGGGTATTCAAAAGTGATTCTTATTGAAATCGATCCGATTCCATGCTGGTTGCTGCGGCACGTCTTTACAGTTATTGTGTTTGACCACAAACATTTGAATAAGTCAAAAAGAGAAGTTAAGAACAGCGCCGACTTCTCGACCACCTGTTGCTCGATTGTGAATACAAAAGATGCCGTTATATGTGGCTGCCACAGCACTTGAGAGTTTTCGGCGTTGCCACCCGGTTGCAAACGCAACGTTTGACCTAATAGGGCTTGGACATTTCAGGCTGTCGGCAAATTTGCATAATATTTTGGAGCTAAATAGTAAAAAAGTTCTTTACCAAAATATTTAAAGTTCAAGTTTTGCCCTTAATAGATTTATGTATATTTCATGTTTCATGCCTTACTTTTGTTTAGGTTTGCAAA